TCATTCTCATCCATCATCTATCCGTCATTTTTGGGGGGATCCATCCATCCATCCATCCATCATCCATCCTTCCATCCATCCATCATCCATCCATCCATCATCCATCCATCATCCATCCATCCATTGAGGGTAGGTAATGAGAGCCAGACCAGACTTGTCCCTGTTGGGGAAGGTGTATAGAACCTATTGGTGAGTAGTTTTGGCCATTAGTGGGAAGGGTCCTTTTTTTGGTGTGAACAGCCGAAGAAGAACATCTTCTGGATTCTAGCAGAGCTTCTCTGTGAGTCCTTTGGGACCTAGGGCCCAGGTTCAGGTGTGAGCACAGCCGCATGGTGGCCTGGTCTGTGGCTTCCTTGGGACTGGCGTCACCCGAGCTCTGGATAGCGTTGGTGCGAGAGGTAGGACATACAGGCCTCTTGTTTCCAGTGGAATAGGCGAGTGGAACTCCAGAGGCAAGTGGAGGGTTATTGTGTCTGCTCCCTTTTGTGAAGGTTCACAATACTTCCCCTCCCCCCTCAGCACATTCAGAATAAAACACACATAATGACCAGCCCTTCTATGCACATACTTGACTTTAAGAAGCTCCGAGTCGGATCTCCGACTTTTCAGTGCCGGTGCCTACTTGATGAGTCAGTTTACCATACTTATGAGACATGATATAATAAAAAAATACCAACTGTAAGTGCTATACAGTGGCTTGTTTAAAACTCGAGCCCTATCATGTGTAAGTCTAAATGTGAATTGATGTAGAAATGAGCTGTCGGGTCCCTATTGTTCGATCCCTGCACAGGAGGTTCCACCGGCGCTGCAGTTACTTACCTGCTGACATCTGTCAGCTGCTACCAGGCGGCCTCTCCAGGCCTAGAGAGAGGAGGGCGGGACTGTAAACACTCAGGTTCTCCTCCTGGCAGGAATGTGGGGACATTGACATCTTTGACTAAAGCCCATAGGACCGTTAACGTAAAAAACCATTGAAACCTGTAAAGAATTTTTGTGAGTTTATTTGAGCCAAACTGTCGACATATGCCGGGAAGCAGAACCTCAACGAATTGAGATAGTGCTCCGGAGAATGGCAGGGTTACATCCGTATTTATACATGAAATTCATTGGTGACAGATTTAAGGAGGTGGGATTAAGCGAAGCGGGGAAACCTCTGTGATAGGATAAAAAGTAAAATGATGGACACATACTTAGGTGGGTGCAGGAACAATTAACATGATAAATGAAAGAATCTGCAGCATCTGTCCTGGGCCCAGCACACCTGGCCGTGCCCCAGGGGCTCCAGATACAGGGAAATCACAAGTTACCCAGACATGTCAAGGGTAGGTTATCATAGATGCAAAAACACAGATAGGCTCAGTTACGGTAAAGGTTGACCTTATCAGTGAAGATATCGGCTTAGAACGTAACTGCCCACCAGAACTGCTTTTAGTTAAGGTTTAATTTCAGACCATCCTTTGTGGTGACTTTAGGTCTCCGAGTCTGCAAGACCGCCATGCAGGCCGCCCCTGAGCTGTCAGGTCAGCATGTGGCCCCTTTCGTCCACAGGACCTTGAAGGAGGAAACGCACACAGAGCAAGGGCAGGTGTCAGCGCGGAGGACAGGCCTACAGGGAGCTCAGGATCAGAGGACACAGTGGCCTGTAGAGATGGCCCAGGTTCTTTCACTGTTTGCGTATTTCGACTGAGAACGTTTGTGCTGCCTGGGCCCTTTGTCTACTCGTGGAGCTGTGCTGGTGTATCGGTTACTGTTGCCGTGTGACAAACCACCCTCCAGAAATTAATGGCTTAAAACAACAACCATTCATTTGCGCCCAGTTCATTGGGGTAGCAGCTGAGGCTCTGAGATCACCCGGGATCACGCCTGTGGCTGCAGGCCTCTGCCTGGGGCCGGGGGTGGGGGTGGGGTGGGGGGTGTGCGGTGCTTAGAACAGCCTGGGCCTCCTGTGTCTGAGGGTTGTCAGGCCCTGCAGTCCAGGGCGCCTCGGCTTTCGACAGCACATCGCCAACAGGGTCGCGCAATCTCGTTCCCATCGTGGCTCCCAGCTACAGTCATAACAACGGAGGGCATCCTGCTGCACAAACACTTTTCAAGCCTCTGCTTTTGTCTTCTCTTCTAACGTCCCTTTGGTCACACTGAGCTGCGTAGACCAGTGCAGGTGGGAGGGGTGGGGAAAGGAACCTGCCCGCCTCTTGAAGGGAAGCCTGCAGCCCGGTCCCCGGGGGCGTGCCTGCTGGGTGGGTAGGTCTGTCCCAGCGTCCTTTGCAAACAGACGTTCCCAGCAGGACCCCAGACCCGAGGCGAGAGCGTATCGGTTAAGGCCCTTGCTCAGGGGCAGCACAGCAGGCCGGTTGAATAACATCGGGCACCAGAGTCCGTGTGCTCGGTACCGTGTTTCAGCAGAAGAATGATTGTAGGGCATCCGTGGTCTGTACCCTCTGCTTTGTGAGGGATGGAGGCGTCCGGTGCGAGCCAGTCACTCGGTGAACAAATATTTACGGGGCCTCGTGAGCGGGCCAGCCTGTTCTAGGGGACGGGGCAGTGGCTGGGGCAGCACGCAATCCGTGTGCATAGAAGTCACCGGCAGCGAAGGGGACGCGCACCTCGCAGTGTGGCCTCTGGCGCTGGGCTGAGCCGCGGTTGTCCCCGCAGGAGAGCCAGCCCGGCAGGTTCCGACCGGGCAGTTAGCCAGGCTGGCGTTCGGTGTTCAGGGGCAACCTCCAAACTGTTTGCTCTGCTAACAGCAAACATATATGTTGATTCCTGTATTCAAGTGTTACAGAAGAGCAAGGACATACCCAGCACGCTTCCTAGAGGAGGGAGGAACCCATTTATTAACATAGTGTCTTCGCTTTTTATAGTCTGGGGTCTTTGTCTTGCAGACAGGGTTCCGCCCCCTTTGGTGGGCTTACTGGAAGGCCCCCAGGTGTTCGATAACGACCCTTCCCCCCCCCCCCCCCCCCCAAGGCAGTGACACGCCTTGCAAGACCAGTTTCTGGGAAGGAGGCAGTGACCTTAATTATAGGTCATCAAGCATGCACACTGAGCTTGCTGGCGTGAGTTCCAGTTGCTAGCCCCCAAAATATCAGGGTTACATTTGAATTAGCCCTTTTTAGCCTTCTTACAGAAACTACCTGAAAAGGTAAATCCGTGTCCTTTTTCTACTAAGGAAGGCTGACCTCTCAAGCAGCAGATATTAAAGGAATGGCTGACCATTGTTTCCCTGTCTACCAGTGTCACTCAGGGCAGTGAATCAGTTAGAAGCCGCTCAGTCACTCACCCAGTTTCTAGTGTCTCCCTTCTGCTTGCCCAGGTCGGTTGGAGAGTGAAGAAACCTTGAAACAGTCTCATCTAAATAGAATAAATTAGGAAAGTTGGAGTCTTTTTTTTTTTTTTTTTTTGAGTCATTTCTGGTCAGGCCAGATTGATTGGGTCCCTGTGACAGAATGCCAGAAATAAATGCAAAACCTTGCATGGGAACTGGGAGTTTTTTTTCACAGCAGCAGTCTTGTCTATTCTTTTTTTTTAAAAAAAAATTAATATATTTTTATTGATTTCAGAGTGGAAGGAAGAGGGAGAGAGAGAAACATCAATGATGAGAGAGAATCATTGATCGGCTGCCTCCTGCACGCCGCCTACTGGGGATCAAGCCCACAACCTGGGCCTCTTCCCTGACTGGGAATCGAACCGTGACCTCCTGGTTCATAGGCCGACGCTCAACCACTGAGCCACGCCGGCCGGGCTGAATTTAAATTGGACATTAAATGTACTGTCCTTCGGAAAGCAAATTCTGGTGTTGCAGCACGTTAGGTATCAGATAAAACTGTTTGCTGCCCGAGGGATAACTGGCCTGAGCCCATTGCAGAGACGGACAGGCTTGGGTAAGGGCAGTGCCAAGCCAGGCCCTGTTGGTAGGAATGGCTGTGGGTGGGGGGTAGGGGGTGGCGGGAGAGAGACCTGCTTACTAAAGACAGAAACACGAGCCCAGAGAGGAGAGAGGGAAACACCAGTTCTAACTGGAACCGGGGAATGCACAGCCCTTGCCCACACTTCACAGCGGTCGGTGACTTAATTTTTGGCAAGGGCTTCGGAGGGCTCTGAGCCAGGATCCTGAATTAATCTAGAGATTTTGAAAAGTATTTTCCATGTATAAATCCACGCTTTCCGTGTATCAGCAGAATGAATACGCATTATTGACTCTCTCTCTACAGAAATGTAACATATTCTTGAAAAATAGAAAATGGAAGGTCAAGTAGAACTAGTGTGTTTTTTTTAAAGGATAAAATTTCAGAGGTTAAAATACACGCTGTGTACGTACTGATGGGCGTATGTCCGCTTCCTTTCACAGACATACATTGGGAGTGTGGTCATCTCCGTTAACCCGTACCGGTCACTGCCCATCTATTCGCCGGAGAAAGTGGAAGATTACAGGAACAGAAACTTCTATGAGCTGAGCCCTCACATGTGAGTATGGCGTTCACGCATTGCTTTCCTTTTGCTCCAAAGATGTGTAGCTGACAGATGTGTCCAGCTGTTCCCTCCAAGTCCCAGGAAAATGCTTTAGTCTTTTTTTTTTTTTTAATTGGATGAAGGAATGTAGAAGTGAATTGTCAGGCCTTATTTTAAATTTAAAGAGGCCGAGCACTTCATTTGGCGCCAGACTCTCCAAGTTCTGAAATGTTTGGGCTCCGTATGTAAAATGTTTTCTGTTAACAATTCTGTGTGAGTAGCAGCTGCTGCTGCTGATTTTTGCAAATAGGACAGGAATGTGCATTGTTTATTATTATGAAAAGCCCGAGCGGCGTTTCCTACTCTTGGAGGAAGCCAGAGCCCAGGATTGGGTTGTGTCATGGTGCCTTGAGCAGAAGGCATACATAATACCTTCAGATTATACTCTTCACGGGCACTCTTCACAGGATATGAGTGCCTTAGGCCCGCGATTTCACCTCCCCTGAACTTAGCCACTTGTTTGATTTTCTCTTTTGAAGGTCATGTGTTCGTGTAAATAGTTCCTGCAAATAATAACCTACAATTGTTACATAGAGCCAAGGCTGAGGAACCCCGCACTGAGAAGTGAAAAGACCTTCAGAGGTTTAGTTGTGTCTTAGCACAGAATAATTTTTCTCTGTCTGATCGAAGGTGGGCCCTATACATTTTGCTAGAAAACAAAATCTAATAATAGTGAAAGAACATGTAAACCGCTGTCCAGGTGTTGATGTAGTTTCTCCTCCCAGGGCAGCGTGCAGCGACATTTCCGGGCCACTTGGAACGCCGGCTTTAAATAATGTATGAAGGTGGTTATTACAACCCAACCGCTATGTCTTCTACCAGCCACGCGGATTCTGGTTGTTCAGTTCACTCCTAGAAGTAGGCTCTGCTAGTGATCGCCGTTCATTCTGCTTTAACAACAGTAAAACCTGAAATTTGTTTCATAAAGTTATCCCCGTGGTTGAGCCCCTGCAGTGAAATCCTTCATTCGATGCCTGCATATTTATTTTAAGTTCTAGGCCTTGAAATTTCTCAAAGTCAGAAGCTTGGATCAGCCGTGTCAGAATCCCCAGGGGCCGAGGAAAAACGCAGCTTCCTCAGCCTTCCCGCTACCAAGCCAGGAATCTAGATTTTTCACACGCTTTCCCGGAGATTCGTATGTGCATACACGTGTGAGAACATGTCCTAGATGTATACCGACACACGGTTTCCCTTCCTTCACTGCATGTCACGTATGTTGACCTTTTACAATAATAATGGTGGCGGATTACACTTACTGAGGATGTTCTATGTGTAGGTCCAGCACTAGGTATCATAGTTCATGTTATTCTCGAAGTAACACCGTAGGGTAGGTCTTACAGCAAATTGGGAAATTGTCCCAGGAAGACGAGCGATGTATCTGGAGCCACACAGCTCGTGGGTGGGAGCCGGGGCGTGAAAAGGGCCACCTGCCGTGCCTCTCGGCTGGGAGCTGGTCCCCCCACTTTCATGCCCGGGCCTCTTCCCGTGCACTCACCCCACTGCCTCAGGTTGCCTGTGTTCCTGTGCCCCGCCCTCCAAGGTAACCTTAGCCGTGCCTCAGTTTACCTCCAGGACTGCAGTGCCGTTTTATCTGCAGCTTAAATCCCCACTTTGGGGGTGTTTAGATAGACAGTAGATGTCTCTTCTAGAACATGGAAGTGCATGCCCTGGAATATTCGTCTTTATCCCCATCCCTGGAAGGTTCCTCTCAGAGGCTGCATGGCTCAGCCCTCACCCCAAGGAAAACACCCCAGCCAGCAGTGCAACAAGCTCTCGGTGTGTTTGGGATAAAGACGGAACTTTACTGTGGCCCGTGAAGCTCTGTGCAGGGGCACAGAGGGTCGTTTTACCTGATGAGTCTGAGTTTGCTAGGCTCACGTCCCAGCCTCCCCCAGCCACACTCCTGTCGCACCGTCCCTGCTGTTCTGTGCCTGCTGCCTGGAATGCCTTCGCCCTCCCTTCTCCTCAAGGCAGCTCAGGTATTCCCCCTTCAGATCGCAGATTGCATCAGACCTCCTCAGGGAAGAACTGCCCCTCACCCCATCCCAGCCAAGGTCATGTCCAAGGTCGCATCTGTGGCTCTTGTTACAATTAAAATTTAACATTTCTTCCTTTTTTTTTGAAAGTTCTTTTTTTTCCCCCCCTTTTAAATATGCTTTGATTTCAGAGAGAGGGAGAGAGAGATAGAAACATCAACAATGAGAGAGAATCATTGATCGGCTGCCTCCTGCACCCCCCTCTGGGAATCAAGCCTGCAACCCGGGCATGTGCTCGAGCAGGAATCGAACTGTGACCTCCTGGTTCATAGGTCGACACTCAACCACCGAGCCACACCAGTCAGGCATAATTGAACATTTCTTCATGGGATTATCTGATGGACGTCAGCTTCACCTGCCGTGCCCGCATAATAGTCTTAGCATCTGGAAAGAAGTGAGGGTTCAAAATATACTGAACAGGACTTGGGTTGAGTCCCGGCTTTTCCATTTACGAGCTCTGTAATCTTGAGCAAATCACTGGGAACAAACTCCAACTCAGAAATTAAGTAATTTGCTCTGTTCGATGGGAAAATAATTATTAACTCGTAGGATTTTTGTGAGGGAGAAACATCCGATAGATACTTAGACGCTAGGATTGTCTGGTGTCATTGGGTGGCACGCCCAGAGAAATGAGGGCCCCTCGGGGTGGCCTGTCTGACGCTGTTCGCCTTTCTAATTGTAATGAGTGTCTGTCCAGTGAGATTTTCAAATTCTTTGCACATAAGAAACTCATTTATATATCTCAGGAGGACTGGGTGCATTCAGACAACTCAGTAACTGCATCCACGAAGAACCGTCTACTAGTATAGGAGAGAATGTTAGGCGGGAGACGAGGAAAGCAATCGCACTATTTAACCTTCCTTGGCTCCGTGAGGACAACATGATGACAAGCACTTTGGGTATTTTAGTTACTAAATGCACTGGCCTCTTGTTGGGCGATTGCCTTTGCACCCGGCAGCACTAGCTGCAGTTTATCACCAGCAGATGGGTCTTCCTGAAATCAGATCCTGTTCCTTCCCGTCCCCGGAACCGTCATGGGCTCCCTCGTACCATTTGAGTGAGCTCCAGGTTGCTGGGCCTCGTGTCCAGGCCTCCACAGTCCACCTCGGCTCTCCTCTCCACCCCACACACCACCCAGCTCCTTCACGGAGCCTCCTTTTGAGGCCCATGACCTGGCCCACCACCTGCCCGTCTCTACCGTCAACGGCCTGCCAGCCTCCTGGGTCTGTCTCCACGGCCAGGTCAGCCCTCGCCTAACCCACATGCGCCTTTTCCTGCCTCCGAGTCATCAGAACCACTCACGCGATCGTACCGTACCCACCACCTTTCTCACTGTGCGGTCTATTGGGTCCAGTGTCCTCTCTTTCATGAGGAGGAAGCTTCTGTAGATCAGAGACTTGATCCTGTGCATCTCCGTGGCTCTCAGTGCTTTTATGAGCTCGATCACTACAGAACGAAAGACATGTTAACGAGTTTCCCATTGCATATGGCTGGTATTACCTTTGACAAGTCAATGGGATCAGACTCTTCTGGTGGGATATTTGCAGAGTTTATTCAAAACTTAGTGCAGTATGAGGAGAATGCATTCTCATCTAAAATAATAATAGCGTAATATGCTAATTAGACCGGACGTCCTTTCGGACAACCTTCTGGATGAAGCTGGGGCTGCGAGGGAAGCCCGGGTCCCGGGTGCCAGAGGGAAGCCGGCAGCCGGGGGAAGGAAGGCCTATTCTTGCACGAATTTCGTGCATCGGGCCTCTAGTTTTTATAATAAAGTGAGCTAAAATGTTATGTTATGGCACTCTTTCTCATTGAGCGTTCAGGTTCAATTTATTTATTCATGATGTAGAGCACCTACCGTCTGATTATGCAAAGCGTCTGGCGGAGGGAACTTGCCACTGGAAGGAGGAGTGGCGGCCCTGCCAGCAGCCCTCCTGGGGGTCCAGCCAGGAGTGGGCAGGAGTGTGTCCTTGCATCAGGCTGGATGCCGCGGCATCGCAAGCACAATTGGAAGCCGCAAGCACAATTGGAAGCCGGCGGTCTCCATTTTAGAAAATGAAACACCCTCTAACGAATTGTAAGAACTGAGAAAAATGGCTTCAGGCTCTGAAGACATTCTGGCTACTCTTTCCTAAAAGGGAAAGCCATTAACGGGAGGATTTGGACAGCGCCCACGTTGGTTGTCCAGACACCAGCGCTCTGTCTCCAGGGAGCCTCTGGCCCCTGATTTAGTGCCAAAGTGATTTTGCAGGACCACACGCTGCTGGCCATGGGACGATGTTTGTGTGTTTGAGACCTTGTGAGTCCTGATGTCATTCTACTCCATAAAGGAAGACCAGAGAAAGGTCACAGAGAAGAAATAGTTACATCTCAGATTGTACAGGTGCTGTGGTTGGGTGTGGGAGCTGAGGAGGAGGGTCCATGGTTGTCCCTTTGGTGTTATGAGAATTTTTTCTACAGCAGAGTTGGCGTTCAGTGAATAAAATTTTGTTTATTTTGAGAACTGATATAACAGCTAGATCCTGAATTCTCAGGGGTTGCTTGTATAGCTGGGTATGAAAGCGCTTTCTTAAGGAGTGAGGGGGGAGGAGGAGGTGGGGCAGCTGTTCAATTGCAGGCTTCCTTAGGCTGGGTTTCTGGTGAGAGATGTTCTGGGCCTCATATATCCTCGCTTTTATAAAGCCCCATGCACTAAATTTACTGCCTTTGACACTCAAACTGTTATTATTCTCGGTCTCTTGCTTTGTTGGGGCTCTTTTCAGCACAGTTTCTTGCAGAAAATATACTCGTGGCAGGAAGAGACCTCAGTTTATTCTCTTTCAGATTACGAAGCTTTGAAAATTAAAGTCAAAGGTGGGTCTATGCCACCATGATGTTTTTATCATGAGCGTCATTGTGACATCAGAGTACATTTATCGATGGC